AACTCGTAGCAGTTATTATTGCAGTTTATCTATCAGCTGCTCCACAGGTCCGCTACTGGTTGATCCGTTGGCTGTTTCTCAAGTGGTAACCCAGCAAATGTCATCTGGTTTAAAATATCATGAGGTAGACCTATTATGTTTATTGCCACTGTCATCAGCACAATGACTTCCGATTTACCTGCCGCCATGGGAACCGGGAACTCTGTACTGAGCCTAGCGCCGATTTTTTTGTCTTCAACAACATTCGAACTGTGAAAAATGACCGGAGGTAACTTTAACGCCTTGCATCTCGCTACCTTCAGTAGTTGACGGCCAGAGGTGCCGTGATGGCCCATCTGGCCTGATCTAAACTAACTACTCCGGTCCAGACAGTGAGTGACCTGCGCCAAATCGGTCGCTGTTTGTACATAAACATACGTGACCCCGAGGTGTCGTGCGCGCAGACGACTGTTGGCCCATGGACTAGGTCGTTTTGTGCTGCGACGGGTTCCCCGTGTCGAGGGCTATTTGTTTGAGCAGCTACCTCTTCGCTCGTTGCAAAACGCACTCGAACGTCCATTCTGAGAGGAAAAAAGGGAAAAAAATGGATAAACTCAAACCATCAAATGTAAATATACTTGCAGTGTGTATTTTGAAGGTGCATGTGATGGTCGCGCATTCCTTGCGTTCGCCTAACCCAAACAGTAAAAGACTCTCCTTTGGACCGAGCTTATAAAAATTGCACAGAACGCGTTTTTATTCATATACTTTATTTTTAATGGAATTTAACCGCTGTCGGCAAAACTGAGGATTTTTTAGGATTTTGTAGTCGGCAACAAATTTCTCATGGTCCTGAGATTGAGGATTACCGCTTTACGGACGCACAAAAAGTTTGCATAATTTATTAGCCAGCCGCAAACTCCTCTCTCATCTGTCCAACAGTTCCACCCTGCTCCATTGCTATTTTGAAGCTCTTGAACACCACAGTCCGTTTCACTCGCTTGCCAAACTTGTCCCCTATTCGGAAGTATGCTTAATGTAGAGGAGGCGCCAACTCAAGTCACATGACTAGACCTCGAGCACTCATTAGATCGCTAAGAGACTGTGAATTATCATATCTACGGACTGTGATACCACGCCTTAACTTGCCTCTGGGCTTGTTCGTGGGTTTTGTGATTTACTTTGGCTTTTCAAATCCTGTATCCACATTACTTCCGTTTCTCATGCGCCTATTAAGTTATTAGTGCTAGTTTTAATATCTTACGACAAGCCTTTGCGAGACAAGCAACGAATAGACGAGTAGTGGAGATACCTTTTTCACAGGTTCTACAAAGATCAGTCGTTTCTCTTTCCTTTTTTTTCTTCTCATCAACTTTCATTTAATCTGTTCGTTCCAAAACGCCCACAGGACGAATATTGACGACTTCTGTCAGAAACACGGCGTTTCCCGTACCCAGATACTCCGCTCTTTTTGCCATTCTGTGGGTATCCAGTTGTCCCTTCGGGAGTATCCCCTCCAACCTCCAAACGGCGCGAAGCACCACCAACGCCCCGTCTTCACCCTCGAGGACATCACCATGCTCTTCCCGTTGGTTAAACACCTTCACCCACACGCGACTGATGCCTACACCTTCTTCAACACTGGGCAGGCTCGCATTTCTGCCGGTTACCTGCAGGAGGGCTTCGAACTCATCTCTGAGGCGTTGAACCTGCTGAACACCGTATACGGTCCACTTCATCCAGACATCGGTGCCTGTAATCGCCTGCTTGCGCGTCTCTCCTACGTCCTGGGCGAACACGAGGCCGCATTACTCTTCCAACAGCGTGCTACGATGATCAGCGAACGCGTGCATGGCATTGACAGTCCTAGCACGGCCGCGGAATATGTAAGTAGCCGGGGATTCGGGTAGTCCCTACACCCTTTGCGTCTGAGCTAAGTACCGGCAATTTTCGCTTACGTGTCCAATTTGAGGCTATGTTGCATCGAGGGCGCCATGACCTCAGCGCAAACTCTGCCTTTATCAGTACTGGTCTCTTGTTACTGTTGAAAGCAGTGCTGTCTGCTCTTCTAAAAGAGCTCGAAAACCTTTATGTTTGACCACTTCATCTTCCTGTTTCTGCAGATCCATATGGCCTTGTATTGCTTCGCTTGTGGTCACATCCATCCAGCCTTCCAGCTGCTGTATCGGGCTCGATATCTGGCTTTACTCTGCCACGGTGAAGATCACCCAGAAGTCGCTCAGATCGATGTGAGTTTCCTCTTTTTCCACCCCCACACCCTTACCTACTCTTCAACCAGATGCAGCGCGAAGACTGGTGCTCATGGGACAAGCCGATGTCCTTAACTAGCCCTTAAGTTATAACACAGCGCGCATTGCTTTACCATCCTGACAAGGTGAGTAGCGTGGTGGCACACATAGGGGCAGCCTCGGCCGCGTCAGCCACCTGCGCTCTTCCTCATCTCCGGTCTTCTCGACTTTTATCTAGACCCCGGATACGGGTGAGAGATTGAGGTAGATTCTGCGCGAGTCTACTTTCAGTAAAATCCAGCGCGAGTCGCCGCGTTTTCCTTCGGCTAGCTAAGGCGCGCAGTAGACTTAGTCGAGATCGACGGTCGAACTTTCATCATACTGACATCACGGGTGCCAGCTAATAATCTAGACATATGTTTCGACCAGCCTCATGCGCCTGCACTACAAAGCTCTCAGAGGATTGGTTCATCAGTTGGTCCTCTAGCATTTCCATGTGATTTCTGGTATATGAACTCCAGTTTCCATGTTGCCCTTTTGAATTTACGAGGAACTTACAAAGGGCAACCTATAAGAGCGGTTACATCGGAGTAAAAGACTACGATTTGCCAGTCTGGTTCTGTCATAACTTTGTCGTATTGGCTTCTCGTATTGTAAATATTTTTGACCGCCTAAAATAGCCTTACTCAGAAAAGCATGAGCACTTACATCTGCTGGTGTCAAAGTTGACGTAAATTTACATAAATTTGTTAAAGCAATTGGCGTGAAGTTTCTGCCTGTGAGAAATTGTGCTCCGACTGCATATGCCACATCGCTTTGCCAATACGCAGTGACACCAATGGTAACTTTTCGTCACAATGTTGGGAAGATGATAGAGCCACCATCATGAAAAATTAGGTGACTTTTTTGCTGAATGGGCCTTCCGTGGTTCTTCGGCAGTTGATATGTTTCCAATGAAATGTTTATTACCATTTCGGAACATACCGGAAAGGCATGACCTAAGCACTGAGACCTACGTGCTTCACTTACTAAGAACAAAATTAGGTGAGACATTAAGCTAAATCAAGCACATGACTTCAGAGCCGTCCGTTGTTCGTGACACTGAACAGCCTCTTGATATGCGCTCATTATAGCAAGCATTATGTTTTGCAGGCCAGGTCCCTAGCCAATAGGTTTGTCTTCTGCGTACTACCTGTACTCTCCCTTCACTGAATCTGTCTTTGCACCCCAACCAATCATGCCGCTTTTTCTTTCGACCCAGGTGAACATCAGTCTCATGCTGCACGCCGTGGAGCAGTTCGACACTGCAGTGCTCTTCCTTGAGAATGCCCTCCGGTTAAGCAAAATGTACTTACTGCTGCACCCTGCTTGCATCTACTGCCTTCTTGCTGCCAGTTGACCCTCCCACTTAACCACAAACATCTTCTCTCCCCCCTCCCCCCGCAGATTCTACGGTCCGAAGAGTCTGAAGGTGGCCTTCAACTGCCACCTGCTGAGCCAGACGCACGCCTACCGCGGCGACTTCCGCTCGGCACTGGATTTTGAGAAGCAGCGCTACTCCATCTACAAGGAGCGCTTCAGCGATGACAGCGATTACACCCGTGACAGCGATGAGTGCCTGCGCACTCTCACCACG